TTCTTAAGTAGTGTCTGCTAATTAAATATAAGATAGCATTGTACGCAATTAGCTTCTCCCCTTTATCAGTCTGTTTATTCACGAGAACTGCTACTTCCCCCATTTGTGTGTAACTATGTGTCCATTTAAAAAAAAATGTAGAGCAGCATTGGAATCCTTGTAATAGCACTGGTGCTATGACACTTAAAGCTGGAAAGAGCTTTGAGCTGTTTCTCGTAGAATGCATGCTAAAACCGAGGAGTACTGCACAGCTCTCCTGCTGTACATTAACTTGGTGACAGACGAAAGAACGTGGCATGGTGTGCACAGCATGACACCCTTGGCACCTCGAGACTGTCTTACTGGTATGGGAAAACCTGCTGTAATACATAGAGCACTCAAGAATATGAGGATACAACTGGCCAGGTGTCTTGCTGACCTTTAGTTAACAGGACCCATGCAGCTAACCGGAGCCGGTGTTTGGAAATTTATCCCTCCAGCACTGTGCTCTGGCCCAGCTGAGGCTGCCTGATGAGGAAGCTGAACTGAATAGCGTAGTTCACTAACTACTGCTGTAAGAACTGATTGCTCCTTTGCTGGTATAAACAAACAAGTAAGTACAGACTATTCTGTGTCATTTTTAGCGATGGTGATCTAGGGAGCTTTCACAGTGGTCTCTGTGAAATTGCATTCTCTTTGCAGCACCTTGTATGCTCCTCAAGCAGTGATCTCGCTACAGCTGCATAGAGCCGGCCATGCTTTTAGTCCAATGGCAGCGACTTAAACAAGGGTGCACACAGCTCTCATTAAGACGTCACTTGCCTTCCAAGCCCACTCTGCGACATGAACAGATGCCACTACTCCCAGAACCCTCAGAGAGTTAAATGCCTCACTTTTCCTAGTGCTGCCTGCACAATCGATGGTCTGCCTTCAACTCAGGGCATGCAACTTCATGGACGCATGCAGGGTTTGCACACAGACGTGTGTGTGAAGGCATGGCTGTGACCACCATGTGGAGTGGGCAGCAGCAGGTGCAGTGAAGGAGATTGTGCCCTCCCAAGGGAGCCCTCTGCTCATCACTTTCATGTAGCAGGCACTAACTAATGTGAAATCAGCCTGGAAAAAGCCTTGCAGCTCAGAGGCAGATGACCAAACACTAATCACGTGGCTGCCAGCAGCGAACATTAGACAGTGAAAAGGATCTTAACTGACTGCAACTTCTGTGTCATCACAGAAGACTTAAGGAAGAACTCAAGGGGGAAATGGGGACAGAATAAAAAAAAAAAGGAAGAAGGAGAAAGGTAATTTGGCAGTAGCTGTGCCCTTCAGGCTGCCTTGGAAAACCTCGAAATTCTGTACTATGGTGTCTGAGCTCAGAGACACGGCTGCTATTCTGAGAAAAGCCCCTGCTGCAGAGCAGCCTGTTTGTGGTCACTCCTGCTGGGTAACACAGGGCTCCCTTGAGCGGCTCACTGCTCGCACAGCCTGCCCCTCTATGTACAGCTCACGAGCAAGGGAATGCTCCCCCCTGCCAGAGCAAACCCTTGCTGCAATGGAGAAATGCAGTAATTTAGCACCCAGACACATTCTTTTGGGATTTCTGCATTGTACCGAGGCTGACACATTCCACAATCAAAGGAATGTGTGCTACAGATGCACCAGTTTTCTTTCTCAGGAGTCTGTGTCTTCACTTACTTTACCACTGTGCAGTGACCCCATGGCTGAACTGGAGGGTCATCTAAACAGGTCTAGCATTGAACCAAAATGTTGAGCCTCATCTGGCAATGGCAGCAAGACTGGTGTTTGGAGCAGTATCTCTACTGATACACAGAAAGAAGCACTTTTTCCCGAAGTGCCTAATGGCACTGAAGTAACAAATAATGGCAAGCTGAGAGTAAATTTCCAAGCATGCCTTATTTTGTAAAATTGGAACCAGTCCCTTAATTGTATGGGCAAAAATCTTCAGCTGAGTCCCTCCCCCATCTTATATAAACTTTATATTCAGCTACATAGCCATAAAACAGGGCTGCTGGAAGGAGTCACTGCTTATTTACAACCAAAAGCACATCAACATGACTAATCACATCAACTCCCTTACCTGTTGGGAGTCTAATGGCTTCTATTTACAGCCTCGAAGCTTGTCTACAATTGTTTCACTAGCAATGCAACTAATTCCCATTTTTTGAAGAAGCAGCCTTAATAGCAGCCATGCTTCAAAGCCATGAGACTGTACTTACGATCACACTCAGCAGAACACATTTACATGCTGCCCAGTCAGCCAGGGAAGGCCCAAGTACAGTCTCTCAGATCCCATGAAGATTTAAAAACAACAAACCCCAAAGTTATGTTTCTTAAGAGAGCTATGCCTTTTCTTCTACTCTGACCCAATACTGCCACTATCAACAAGAGTGAAAAAGTGCTTCTGCTGTAGTAATAGGTTTACTTCTTGTGCAGGCCTGACTGATCTGTGGAAGGAGGTAGGACATTTTTCTTCCAACTCTATGAAATAGAATCTCTTCAATGATTGGGAGGTTTCCCAGGGTCTTACAACAGAAGGATACTTTCCTGCATGGTCGCTGCTCATACTGGAAGTTTCACTGTTATTTTTTTCCAGTGGTTAAGGAGCGTCCTTTATCTTTCCATCTTCTGGAATCCTTCTATAGATCATCCACTGAAGAATGGATTAACACAACATGTCTAAGTATATGACTTGTTTTGATCTCTTGTTCAGCCTGGGAGCCTGTTTCCCACTTTCCCTCTGATCCCAAAGAACAAGATGTTACCAATGGTGACGCCACTAGTCTGACTGCCCTTCATTGCAGTAGAGCCCCTCCAGAAAAACACAGCAATCACATCAGGCCATGGGAGCTCAGCTACAGTGGCCATCTGGCCTGGCTGCAACAGAGGCAAGTTTGAAATTTAGTTCCTTAGAACCTGTGACACATGATAACTTCAGTCATACTGCTGTCTATTGAGCTTGTGTGCCGAAGCATTTGCAGGCTCAGGCCCTCGAACCAAACTGAGTCTTCAGAGCTCATGTGTCTCTTTTTCCGCTCTGTCCATTGACAAGCAATCCTAAGAATCAGTCACTAGTAGACAAAAATAGAAACAGGATAGGAAAAGCTATGGACCTCAAAAGTGTTTCTGGAATTTCAGTGGGGACAAATCTCTCATGATGAACTTATGAAAGAACTGCCCTTGAGAGTACTAAGGAGAACTTTTGTGAAAAAAAAATCCTGTAAAGTTACAAACCAAAAGCCTATTGCAGGAATTAAAAATTACTCTGCAGAGGATGGTGATGGTAATAAGAGAAGCTCATGGTCTATCAGAACTTGAGTAAGCTGATAAATGCCCAGAAGGGTTAAGGAAACAGTCAGTTGGCAGAGAAAGCTTTGAGATTGAAATGGTATACTCAGCACAATTTCTTTAGAGGAAAGCTTTCCCCTTCCTGGCTCTCTAACAACACTGACAGACTTCAAGGGAGGCTCCAGCTGTAGAGAACATAACCTTGGCCTGGCACAGCACACAAGAGAAAACCTCAAGGTGTGTAATGGTAGAGAACATAACCTTGGCCTGGCACAGCACACAAGAGAAAACCTCAAGGTGTGTAATGGTAGAGAACGAGAGCCATGGAAAGTCTCCACATAATGGCCAATTCAGTGGAGGCATATGTCTGTCTCTGTTATATACAAGTCAGGGCCAGAGCTGTAGGTCTCTGAGCCACATGGAAACAAAGTTCAAGCGTAAGTCTAGGAAATTAATAGAAGAGATGCCACATTGGCTTGTGCAATCCTGTCTTTGATGGTGGCCAGTTGTAGCTGTTAAGGGAAAAAGTATAAGAAACAAAGAGCAGAAGAAATCTCCTAATTCAGCTAAGGATGGATTGAGTTGCTTCATTTTCAAACGTGAAAAAAGACAGAGGTTACAGTATCCCACTTTCCTGGGTTGTGACAAGTGGGTGTGGATGGTTACAAATATTATAGGTTTGTGTACTGTAAGGTTTCCTTTGATGTAAATTAGTTTCCCTTCATGCTCAACTCAGTCAAAAAGGCTCTACACTAAAATGAAAGGGAGAGAGAAATCACGTCAGCACTTCATTACTCAACAATACATTTGTGAATGTGGGGAGAAGAAAGTTGCAAAGCAGCCAGCTACCCCATGCAGTGTTTACAATACTGGGGATAAAGAGAAAACCTGATTCAGTTTTAGGACTCTGAGCATTGTATCCTAGAACAAATGCAGCATTTCTCACTTACTTTCTAGTATGAAGAAGGGCTTTTTCTGTGAGAAGCTTTATTTTCTAGGTTTTCCTTGGCTTTTGGTGCTAAAAAGATGTGTAGGAACAGTTCTCTGGGGAAAGATGCATTGTATGTGTGTGTGCAAGCTGGTATTTTTGCAGGCTCAGCAAAATTTCTCCCTGAATGTCAGCCCTTTGCAATGCTTCCCAGCACACACAAGGCTTTAGATACTTTTGCCAGTGTCAGCTCCATCTCTGAGATTGCCCTTTTTAGTTCATTTTGAGAGTAAAAAAGCCCAACATGCATGAAAGTACCCCCAGCACAGAAGACCAGTGCCATGCGAGGCTGCAGGCACCAGCTGCTGTGGTTTTAACACACGCTGCCTTTCCCACCATTCACAGTAGATGACAGGGACAGGCTGCCACCCCACTGCACGTGAGACCTAGAACTTTACCTGAAGTTTTTTCATCTAAAAAAATGAGGAAAAAAGAAAAGCAGATCTCTGATATCTCCTTACATGTGGAGGGTGACTTGAAATGAAAAGTAGCAAGAATTTTAAATAAAATAACTCTAGCCTTTAATATATCTAGCCTGAGTTAATGATAGCTGATTTACTTAGTACTCCATTACTATGGTCACACTCCCTCCACCAGACAAAAGCAACAGAGCTTCCTAAGAAAAGACAACTTGCCTTTCTTGAACTGCTAGTGCTTTTAGCATTAGGTAGAGGAGGTAATTTTCTGGTTTAGATGAAAGGCAGAGAGTTGAACAAAGGTTTCTTACCGTTAAGGACAATGCCATACAAACAAAAGTGAACTTCTTGATATGCGTCGCTGTGACGGTGCTGTTGGTGTTCACCAATTTATTGCTGGGGTTATTCTAGGGTGAGAGAAAAAGATAACAAGCATTAGCTTGGCTCCAGAGTACTGGGAGGCTGATGGCACCAGGGTCATGTGTTGGACCTGACTGTCTGTGGCTGTTCATGTCTGGCATCGCTTGTTTGCTTTTTGACCTAGAGCTTTCTGAGTATTTCATATCACCACAGAATATTTTCTGTTTAAACTGAGAGCAACTGCTCTTATTGTAACCAAGGACTGAGTAATCTCCCTGCTTTTCTAAGGAGTAAGTCCTATTTAACAAATTCAGCTCTGAAAAATGGTGGTAGCTCTTTCTAAGGAAACTCCACATGATTTTTTTTTACCTTAGTTTAAAGTTTGTAGCATGTTTTCACAGGAAAAATAGGATTCCATTCCTTTTTACCACAGAGTGGTACCGAACCCATATGCCAATGCAAGCACCCTTACTGATCCAATTAGACAAGTGGTTAATATAAACAGATCTCCTGGAACAGCTGGCTCTGTTAATGCAGTTTAATGAACAGAACATAATTGAGACTATTAGATGTTCCACCTTGAACATGGGCTCTGTACTCACATGGCAGCAAAGTTTTATTTAAAACAACAACAAAAGGCCTCTTCCAAATGTCTAACAGAGCAAATGAAGCTGAAGATTTAAAATTGCCCTCGGGGAACACATAAAACACACCAAATGGTCTGTGAAAGGAGAGGATGGGATATCAAAAGCAGGGCATCGTTAGGAGCCCTGTAGCAATAGGTTGTTGGGTCATCTGTAGCATTGACCCTGGGGCTGTCTGAAATACACATGTATGTGCCCACACTGATAACACCCACTGATAACACCTGTACCATGAGGTGTACTACAACATTTATTCATCCTTGATGCAACTCAGGTAGAACAGAAGCATCTGTCACATGGTCAGTCTCCTTTACTGAAGTAACTCATAAGAGAAACAGGAACTTATGCAAACACATCTTAGGAGTGGACAAACCCAACGTGAGCTCTGTGAAGGGTACACCATTTCACACACATTTGAGTAGTTGGTGGAATTTTGCAATTTAAAGCATTTTGTGGTGATCAGTGCAGTGATAGCACCCGGACAGCCCCGCTCTCCTGCTTCAATATCTGCCTGGAAGTTCAGGTGCATGAAGATGCATGTAGGCGACCTAGACCCTAAAGCAGGAAGCTACTCCCACGCCTGCCCTTTTTGGGAACAGGTTATGAAAACTCTCTGTAAACATTTTTTAAATCCATCTATTCTTATTTCTTGTGTTTCTGAAGAAATACTTTTTGTTACTGTTAGTTTTTGTGCATGTGAGGACAGGCCTTGCTTACATCGCCCACCAGTGTTTAAACTAACTCTGCAGCATGGCACAACTTTCTAACAAGGTTAAAATAACAGAGAGGAGGGAAAGCACTCCCAAATCCAGCCATCCAAAAGGGCTGTGAAGAAAAAGGGCTTTTGTTTGTTCCTATCTCACTGCTGCTAACTCTGCCGTTGCTCTACTCCACCCTTTGCTCTAACTCTTAACCACATACTCTTTATTCCTATCTCTCGCACACTGGTAGAGCCACTGAAGAGGGCATACTTTCTGTATCCCAAATCCCATCAGCTAGTTAAGGCAATGTAGTGTGCTTCTGATAGCCATCAGCATCACCAGCTTTCTGAGTAACCAACAAAAGAAAATGGAGCTTGCACGCACAGAAACTGGTTCAGCATCTGAAAATCACAAGAGATCCTTTACAGAGTCCGGAAATAAAAAGAGGTTCTGTCTGGACTCTTCTGAGAAAGCCTTAGCTTAAGGAAACAAAGCTTTGAAAGGCATGGCGACACGCGAATGACATGTGACCACGGGTAGAGCTATTCTCACAGTGAACTAAAAAAACCTGCTGTGGGTTTCTGGTTTGGTGTTTATTGTCTGAAAGAAACAGTGGAGGCATTTGCACATATGGTTGCCAGGATGAGATATAGTTTGTACTGCTGCTACCTCAGCCCATTTTATGCCAAATTGCTCTTAAAACTTACAAAATCCCTATGGCATAGTTTCTTGGCAATTAGATAAATTGTACCTATCTGTGCCTCACCCTAGTTTTTTCTTAATCACGTTTGTTCTGCAAGAGGTCTATAAGAAGCATTTTAATGGAAATAAACAAACAGACAAATGATGGTCTAATCCTGTCAGCATTAAAGTTGTCTGCAAGTCTTCCACCAGCTAAATGAGGCGTGGATTTAGGAGTCTTAATTGCTGTTAATTTTGCTTGGCAATAGTGCATTTGATTGTAGCTCACAACAGATGAGGTTAGCAGCCCCTGTGTTTCCTGTCTCAAACCATTTTTATCTTGCAGTTTATTGGTTTTGCACCTGCAGTTCCTTTTCAGCAGTATGACCTCTGAGAAAGTCTCCATGCTGTATTTTATCTGACAGGTCAATTTAGCATACACAAGCAAGTTAGGAAGTTACCACTGATTTGCCTTCTCTTTGTTTTTAAATTCTCGGAAATATGGTGGATCACATAAAATGGGGCTTGTTTCAGTCAAGTACATCCCTGAGCAAGCAAGCAAATTTTTCATCAGTATTTGGAACAAGGAAGTTCAGTTAATTATTGGCAAATAAAGGAAAGGAGGAGATCTTGGTATTGTCACAGGACAAGACTGTTGTTTGCGCAACAGATGGGCTAGTAAGTACCAGTTCTAAAACAGAGCAAAAAAAAAGTATAAACAAAATTTTTTTTTGTTACATATTTACTCTGTGCTCAGTTCCAGGAGCAGTCCCTGCATTCTTATGTAATTACATCATTTGCCAATAAAAATCTTCATAGTCTTGGTCAGCTAAGTCAGTGCTACTCAAATAATATGTGTTATCTGTGTTACTGTCATTCTGTAAAACAACCTTTGCTAAATATTAACATAAGCAAATGAACCCAAACCCATTTAAGAGATATTGCAGAATCTGGAGAAGAGACGTGAGCTTGCTCACTTACCGCTGGACACTTTGTAAGAAACCACATCATTAGCTAAGTAGCTACTTCATAGTCATTTAGTAAGCAGGGACATGTTTAATCCTTAAAAATACAGCACCTGTTTATTCCAAAGGCAGCTTAATACCTTGCAACACAGACCTAAGGTTAAAATCATAAATCAAACAATAGCTTGAAGCCATTAAAACACAATTAATTTTAACTAGGATTTTAAGAAAGCCTTATCAGTGGGACAAGGAACAATAGGTATCAAAAGCAAATGTAAAGAGAAGCAAAACAATAGATGGCCATTAATACAGCCCTATTTAATCTTTGGTTGGTTTACTTTTTAAATAATCTGTTACACTTAATTATGGAGTCATGTACTAATTTTCTTCATATCTGTTTGGCAGAAATACCTCTGACATCAGTCAGTCATCCCTAAATTAAAATGTTGTAACAGAGAGAAGAGGAGGTTCATGGATGTGAAACCAGACAAAAGGTATTTATTACACCCCTAACATGGGCACTCACCTTGTCAAAAGCAGGGTACACTGCTCTGATCTCTGTCAGCCAGCCGTACGGCATGTGTCCCACAGGATATGTAGCTGTCAGAATTGCCACTGCCTATGAAAAGAGACAAGGAAAGATGAACATTTTCTTGGTTATCTGACCCCATATTCCTGTTATAAATGTAATTGTTGTCCGTGCTTGGTTAAAGATCTATACAAACAGAGAACCATGTTACAAACTAATTTGTTCCCTGTGCTGTTTAAAAAGAGGGGGGAAAGCATCATATCCACAGAGAACAAAGAGAGGGAGAAAGATTCTTCCTTGATAATCTCGTATCTTTAATAAGCTGCAGCTTGAAAAAGTAATTGGTTCAAGGAAAACAAATTGTAATTTTAAGAGAGTACCATTTCAATTGCCATTTTCCTTCTTGTTATTGTATTTTTGGCAGAATTTCCATCTGTATGAAAACTAACTAGGTTAAATCAAATAAGGGATATAAAAGATATTTTGCTTATTTTCATGGTGAAGTCCAACAAGACTGCAAAGACACAGTAACTGTTAAGAAAACAATACTTCACTACCACATTTTGTATGCCATCCACTTGGATTAAATTACTGAAGTTTTTAGCAGTGATTTTTCTTCCAGTATTTTTCCCCAATTGGTAGGATCCCAAAATACATGCATGAAAGCTTTCCTAAATGTTTAGAACAGAAGTATTTGACAGGTGTAAAAATCTCCCATCAAAGCTAAGATCAAAAAAAAGTACCCCAGTCACCATCACTGTGCTGGCAGGCCAAACAGAAGCAGTGGGAGCTCACCAAAGCAAGTGGGCTTGCTGTCCTCATGAATGTGCTACATCCTAGCTCTTCACAGGGACATCCTGCCCACACTGGAAGTCACTGATATTATTCAACAGGGGACTTAGAAAACTCTCATGTATACTGATGTTCTAGATACTGGTGTTATCTGTGTTGCCAGCACCTCCCTTTTCAGAGGCAATTATTTCAGAAATCAGAGAAAGTTGAAATGTGACAATTACTGTTAGTGTAAAAAGGCCAGCAAACCACCAGTTATGACATGTATTTGGAGTCATCCTAACAGCAACAAAATGCAATTGGCTAGCCATGAAATGTGATGCATTTAAAATCAAAAGTCACCAAGAAATGCAAAACTGATCTCTGCTAACATGCTCTGGCTCCCCTTGTACTGAGACTGCTATTAACACACACACTGACCCCTGATTTATACATGTGAAAGTTACATTTCATAAATTCTCTCTCCACAGCTGTTTATTTGCAGTCACTGCCAACTCCTGGGCGGGTGAAATGCACAGGATCGTATATGACAAGCAGTGCTGAGAAAATGCTTGCTGGGCATCATCTGTTTGAATTTTCCTTTCCATTTAGTATCTTACAGCTTTGTTTTTCCTGTAGAAAAAACATGAGAGGTTTTCTAGTGCCTATGTGGATGCAGACATTCTCGCACCGAAACTGGCAGCAAAGGTCCGTCAGGCTTCCTAGGAGAACAGGTCAGCTCACGGTGAGCACTGGCAAAGGCTCTGCACTACAATCAGAAGTCCGGCTCCCATCAGTTGTAGGAGACTATTGTAGTAATCTGAAATTCCTCAAGAGAAACAGGGCACGTTTCATATCCCAACCAGGAGACGGGGGCTTTTTTTTATGTGCTTCCTTTCGTCTCTACCCTACTCTGTGGGACACACTGACAGCTGACAGTGGTTTCACATCAGTCTGCATAGCCACAAATATACGTGACATGAAACAGCAGAACTTGGGACTACCGACAACTGTCCTAAAATCTCTGTGATCTGAATGCTCCAGAGCATATGTACCTATACGCAGAGCATGAAAACCTGAGAGGCAGGAGCTGTTCAGTGAAAAAATTCTACTGGTCTTTTTGAGTGTGAGGTCCCACTAGGTCTGGCACAAACACTCATGGTAAGAGCCCAAGCAGTCTTCTTTTCAAGGATAAAGATTTTATAGTTTGATGTCCAAAGTCAGTCAGCCGCTGAGGCCTACTGTTTTGCAGTCGGTCTGTCTTACTTAAAACTGTTTTACTTATGAATAACCAAGTAAAATGTATATAGATTAAGATTATGAAATATGAGACAAGGCTACCATAAGCTGTAAGACATTCTGCTACTCAGGCATCTGCAGGTAAACAGAAATGTACTTAGGACAATTTTTTCTTGCCAGCACTGCTGAGTAGAGAAACACGGAGACAATTCTATGTAAATAGTCATTTGCAGTAATGGGGAATACTGATTTTCTTACCTCTGTGGCTGCAGAACTGCCACCTAGATCCCGGGAGACAAAAAGGTTGACAATTGGCCTACTTATTCGCTGAGTTGCCAAAATTAACGCCAAAGGCCACCAGAAACTCAGCATCTTCCTTATTGTAGCCTCTCCCTGCAACACATATGGAAAAATAAAAAAAAGAAGTGGATTTGGAAAAAAATGTGCAGAACTGAACGAAAAGCACAGAGAAAGCATTTTTGCTCTTCCCACCCACTGTCAGTTTGGTACATTCATTTCAATAGTTTTCAATATGAGGAGCCTGAAATATTTTCACTCATGTTAGTAATACTGATTTAAGAAAAAGCTGTGTCATCGATCTCAATAAATAACGCGTAAGGTATCTATCTGCATAATTCTTCACAAAGATATGTGAAAACCAATACGACATTCAAGGAAAAAGGAATTTTGAGAACTTCTTCCCTGTGGAATAAGGTGTCTGCTTAATTCATGCTGTGCTGTCTTACAGCCAGTACAGAGCGCAGTACAGAGGTGCTCAGTAGACCGCACATCCATACCACGGGAAGCATTGCCTCGTGTGCACTCTTGCTAGAATAGTTTCTACTGTGCCTAAGTGAAAATGTTTTCTTTCCTGCAGGACAGAGAGAGAAGGCCCTTCATACACAGTGGTTTAATCACAGAATCATAGAATGGTTTGGGCTGGAAGGGACCTTAAAGATCATCTATTTCCAACCCCCCTGCCATGAGCAGGGACACCTCCCACTAGCCCAGGTTGCTCAAAGCCTCATCCAGCCTGGCCTTGAACACCTCCAGGGATGGGGCATCCACAGCTTCCCTGGGCAACCTGTTCCAGTGTCTCACCACTCTCACAGGAAAACATTACCTCCTTATACCTAATCTAAACCTTCCCCCTTTCAGGTTAAACCCATTCCCCCTCCTCCTATCACTGCCCTCCCTGATCAAGAGTGTCTCCCCATCTCTTCTGGAGGCCTCCTTTAGGTACTGGAAGGCTGCTGTAAGGTCTCCCTGGAGCCTTCTCTTCTCCAGGCTGAACAACCCCAACTCCCTCTCAGCCTCTCCTCATACAGGAGGTGCTCCATCTCTGATCATCTTCGTGGCCCTTCTCTGGACCCACTCCAACAGGTCCATGTTTTACCTGTGCTGAGGACTCCACAGCTGGATGCAGTCCTCCAGGTGGGGTCTCATGAGAGCGGAGTAAAGGGGGAGAATCACCTCCCTCGACCTGCTGGTCACGTTTCTTTTGATGCAGCCCAGGATACGGTTGGCTTTCTGGGCTGCAAGTGCACATTGATGGGTTGTGTTAAGCCATCAACCAACATCTCATCAACCTACACCCCCAAGTCTTCAGGGCTGCTCTCAATCCATTCTCCTCCTAGCCTGTATTTGTGCTTAATACAGTATTATAACAGAAAAAGGATAGTTTAAAATTATTTAATTTGAAAAAGCACAAAGTATTAAGACATACCCCCATCTCAGGTCCACTTCTGTCAGGAATGACATCATGTATGTTCCTGTAGTATCCGAGGCATAAAGTGGTACATCGGACAAGTGCTCCCATGTATAAGGACAAGATGGGGATCAAGAGAGGCTCCCTGCACTCCAAGTGACTGTGAAGCAAAATGGCTACAAAAACAACCTGCAGGGCAAACAAAGAAATGATTAGTAATTTGTCTGTTTCTTTAGGGCCAACATATGTCCTATCTGCCTCCAAGCTATTCCATCTGAACTGACAACCATGCGTGACTACCATACCTACCCAACTTTGAGCTTGTGGCATTTGAAACTTTAGTCAGCCCCCACACCCTGCATTCAGTCATACAAACGAGAAGAACAAGAGTTAACATACAGAAGCTCTACTAAGCAGTATTTGAAGGTATGGGCAGGTGTCAGACTAGGAGCCATAAATAGGAGAAGGTTAGCCTAAAAGTCTGGCAAGGTCTGGCAGCAAGCATGTGGCTGAGTGTCACCCTTCCCAAGATAATGTGCTATTCTGATATACACTGAGGCTCGAGACACGCTTCTAGGGTCAGCTTCTAAGCCTACTTTTTTTTTCTTTTTTTTTTTTGAGGGGGCAAGGCAGAGAAGTGGCAATTAAAAAGTCAGGTGTTTTAAAGTATTCACTTCAGCATTTAGAAGCAGGAAGTCTTACGTCATCCTAATTATCTACTTTTTTGAGTGAAATTTCAGTATTTCATCATTCTCTCTTCAGCTATCCGAGTGCCACACTGATGTAAATGAAATGGAAACTTTTGGGCTAATGAACAGCTCATAATTCAGTCTTGTAGGATTAAATGCTCAATCCAGAAAATGCAAAGGAATTGATTAATACGATATTATTCTCTTTGTTAAGTTCAGAGCTGATGGCGCGCCTGTCAAATTCCAAATGTCTCTGGGTATAGGGCACAACTGAAAAGCCAACTGTGTTTGGTCCTGTGAATGGCAGAACCAAGGACTGGTGTTCCCCCAGTCCTGCCAGGACATGCTGGCATTCTAGTGAGCTACAAGAAATACAAAGCACATTGTTCAGGGGCAGGTTCTCTTCTTCATTGCTAGAGCTCAAGAAATACTTAAGAAAAATCACATTGTGCAAATGTTATTACGCAGGCCATGCTGTTTATGATGGTTTGAAAAACTGCTCTTTTGAAGTCTTGAAATGAATAGTTTTTTGGTAAACAGAAGCAAAGTCAGTCACAAGAAGCGTGTATATGAAGCTACCCAAGGAGAGTTAGCTATTGCCTGTGCACCTATTGCTTGTGTAAGGAGCAGATGTAGGTGTAAAGAGTTCTGGGGTATGGAGAGTCACAACTTTTTGTCTTTCAGATTTGCTCTTGCTCTGTGCAACGTATTGTTGAGAGAAGATAACAGGTGTCTTATTCTTCACAACCCTGGCACCCCCACTTGCCAACCATTGTGGAAAGGGCATGTGTACCACGGCCAAAATAAGAATTTGCTTCTGTATTTAGCTGTATATGACCCGACATGCATCTAGGGTCAGCAAACTTTGTAGGTCACATTAAAACAAGACTAGATCCTGAGGGTTAAGGTCATTTACAGTAATTGGTATTATCATCAGGGATTTAGTGCAGTACTATAGAGGTGTAGACCTGCCAAACACAGAATAGCAGCTGACTGAATGGTTCAACACAGTTTATGGTTTCCTCATATTTAGTGGGAGGAAAATGCTATGGACAATTGAACTAAGTGCTGTCGACTTCATATTTCCTTTGATGTTTTACTGTTACTATCCTCTTTCTTACACAGTCATTACACCATTCAGCTGGTAATAGGGAAGTACAGCAACTGTTTTACAGGTGCTGGGTCTCTCCATTTCATAATATTTTTATATATGATCTAAAAGAGGGCTGTATATTGGTTCTCAAATGCTACAACACTGGCCATTAGCATAGTGTATGAAGGTTGTTTTTCAAGTGTGTCTAGTACAAAACATCAGGACAGTTAATACCTCCCTCACAAATGAAGGTTCAAACAACATTTGATCTTCTCTGCATCACCCAGGGGCTACCACCACAGATCCCGTCTGCTGCAGTTCTGAGCCTTCACCAGGACCAGTAATAAGAACAGTGCCATACTGGCACTCAGAAGGTGGCTTGCACTACTGCATTTCACTGGATTAGACAGCACGTGCAAAAGTGACAGGTGAACTGGAGAATCAAGCCTTCACTTCCCCACCTACAAGCTCCACTCAGGATTTCAGTGCAACTGTGCAAAGTGTGGGAGACAATGTACAGGGGGGAGAAAGGTCTTTTCCAAAGCACCCCATCAGCCTCAGGACTGATAGCAGGCAGTGGTCTCTTTGTCTGACCAGATGTACTTATATATACATAATTTGTTTCTCAGACATTCTGAAACTGGGTTATGGAGGTGCTGGAAGACATGGCCCTAGCCCGAACAATCCTGGTTCCATTCTCCTGACGTTGGTTTGGGACTGACTTGATCCAGTCAAGTAAGACCAGCCTAAACCACAACTGTCAGCAAAGAGCCTCCACATGACGGGGAAACAGCCAGAGAATAGCATGCCAGATTACTTCCTACTGGTGTGTTGTTCATGGTAGAGAGAGAAGGCAGTCTCTGTGCAAGAGCTCCTGCTTAGGAAAGCATGTATTCTGTAACACAATGGGAACAGTGACTGCTAAGAGGAGTCATTACCTGAGCTATGACATCTGAGATGGAGGCACATCCCACTAGGAAACTGTACTTGTGTTTCAGCAGAATCCCAGCATGAGTCCATGCCTGGAAAAAGGCAGAGAAGAGTTTGGGAAGAGATTACGACATTTATGAACGATTTCAGGTCCCAGAATGCTGTTTTCTGGTTGTTACATTGTACACAAACAACTTATAAAGCTCTTTCCAACCCGCAGCACCTGGTGTGAACCTTGGCAAATGTTAAGCCAGTAATGTAGAGAAAGCATGGCTGCTTTCAGTTCCTCATTGCCAGGGCTGACAGGGAGAATGAGAATAATTTTATAGATTGTATAGAAATTTCTGAGCAGATCTAATAAGAAACCGCCCCTTCTTCATAAAACAGATGCTGCACAGGATGGATTATCACCCTAAATAACCCAAGGGAAAAAATGTTTATTCTCATTCACCAGCTGGATGCACCTCTGAAGTGTAATATTCATTGGCCCACTGAGTTATACCCAGTCCTGGTGTGGAAAAGAAAACTTAATGATCCAACTTCTTTTCATTGTCAGCTACTGTTTCAGGCCCACAAAGTGGTAGGGGAAGTGGGGGGGGGATACTTGAGAAGGTTTTCCTTTACCAGTTTTACACAGAAGTAGAGGCATTAAAGAGAACTGCCATATTTTTATGTTGTGCAGGCCACAAGCAGGAAGCCTGGTGATCTCAGGAGCAGCAGCTCACCCCTTGTGTGGCTTTCTTGCCCAAACATTGGAGATATACTGGACTCAGCTGTGCTTGCAAAAAGTGATGGTAAGAAATATTTTTTCAACAAATTTGCTTTGAGAAAATATTGAGTTTACTCCTTGTGAGCTCTGCAAGTGATCTGGGAATGCATAGCAAATCCAACTCTTTCACTACAAATGGGAATGAGGGGACACATACAGACAACTGGTGTAGCTCATCACAAGTCGACCAGTTGACCAGCATGCACATACAGTAAGTCTAACTAGGCAGATGAGGTTTTTTACATTTGTCATGATTTCTGGATGTTCAAAGTCCACCCAGAAGCTTTTTCCAGGTAGCAGGAGATGATGTGTCCAGGTATATCCAGAGCTACTGCTTGTGAAAGACACACCTTCCTTCTGCACACCTTCAGCTTCCCATGAGGCACCAGCCTTTGTGAACTAAGGTCACCAACGAAAAAAAGATAACATTTGTATTAAAATTCAGTTCTGCATCAGGCACTCACCATGGCATCCATAAAAGGGAAGGCAGCAAGATAAAGGAAGGCCCTCCGAGTTTTACTTCCCACTGATTCATCCACATGGTGCAGCTTATTAATAATGTAATACCCCAAATCGCTATACGCTGTAGAGACACAAGAACAGGAATGAATAATAAAGGTTACATATGGACTCCGGGTGAGATACTCAGAAGTACCTGAAAGACCGTGACGCCTAGGAGCTCAGACATGCATCCACTCAGCAAACAGCTGCAGGGGCTCCAGGATATTACAGCCTCACCAGCTGCTGTTTATGACTAAGGAGTGCTCTCATGGTTCTTTTTCAAGTAACCTTTGGCAGAGGAGTGATAACAAATGGCAGGGTTAGGAGATGGGTATAGTAAGTGCCACATCTGTTTGATAAATGAACGCACTGGTACTGCAGAAAATCTACTGCTCTTTCATTAACTCAAAGCTCTTTGTTAGAAAAGCTGTTCTCACCAGGCATTGTGTATTTCATGGGAGGCAGTATCTTATAAATGCTGAAACCATCTATCGTCGCTGCATTCTCAAGACGCTACCTGTAAACCTACCCAAAGCTGTAAAAGGATAGTATGAATTGTGAAGGCATGCAACAAATCACACTCCACCCAGTGATCACCTTTGCTGGGATCTGTCAGGGCACTGTGTGGTGTGCTGCACAGTCTCTGGGCAGCCTCGACCAACTTTAGTTTCCTTGCTTATCTAGAGGTCGCATCTCAGGAGACACAAGTCAGAAAAGGATATTGATGGCAATTAGGTGGTTGCCACTTCTGATCACCAGTATATTACTTCACTGTCCTGTTTCAACCTGAGATGAGCAGCATTTTTAGCGGTGGGCAACATGTCTCCTGCGAGGTCTCTCTTCCCGAGGTGTTGGGTTGAAGACAGCACAGACACAGGGACTCACCGCACCTCTGTACAGCTGTAATAGCTGTTAAAAGAATGATTAGGTTGTGAGGTCAAACTCCCAACACAAGTAGCGGCTGAATTACTTGTGCCTGGGGAGGTTTACCTCAGTTCTCTTCTGCTTGTGTCTCTTCTAAGGTAATTATTTCAAATGTGCACATCTATCTATTCTTCCATTCATAACAATCCTATTGTCATTGTACAGATCTTCATATAGGGTTTTTCAGGGAAGCTATCCTTTCTATGCCTGCAGGTCACCTTATCAGACTGACCAATGATAACACTAGTTGTCCAATTAAATCTTTTTAGTCTAAAACTAACTCTAATAACTCATAAATATGGTTTGGAAACAACTAAAGAGGAGTTTAAGTCATCACTGTTTTGTCATGGCTTAGGGATACAGCAGTTAAATGATTAACAGGACTGAAAATACTTTTTCAGTCCAAACAAGACAGAGTAAACAAGGTAGTAAAAACCAAGGTGGTATGGCAGCACTGGGAACAGGCATGAGCATAAGCCTCACTCCAGATAACTGGGACTGCCCAAAAGATGCTAAAATGTTAAAAACTCCCACTTTTCCTACATTGGTCCCTATCTATATGTCTTTCATCTGAACTACAACTATTAGACTCACAGTCTCTCACTTCACCCATTAATCCCCAAGTTGCTAGCTATCTTCCTGAGGCACTCCCAGCCTTGTTTCCTTTTGAACAAGATTAGGGAAAATCTTTAAAACTCCCCTGCGTCCAGGCAGGCAAATTTAGTTCTTTAAGTGTTCATGTGCTTGTTGCAGTCCAGTCACACATCAAGCACAGGTTCTTTTTTATTTTTGCATGAATATCCATACACTGATTTTTGCTCAGTATTTTGAAAACTCTCTGTTATGCATGGATTTTTGCATGGTAAGTCCTTGTGGAAGGCTGCTTTTATGGCAGGGCAGTACAAGGATGTTTCTGAATAGACTTATTTGAATGGAGGAGAAGGAATCTGGAAGGCACGTGAGGCAAGCCACCTGTGAGGGTCAGATTCATTGAGCTGTCTCAGGTCCCATTGGAAGTTGCTTTACACTTCTCCTGCACAAAAACTTAAAACTGCTGCAGGAAATACACCAGCTTTATTCTCCGCATGGGAACTGATAGAATCAGAGTCCAGGTGCTGAGGAACCTGCTCCTGTGGAGGTGCCCCCACCAGCAGTGCAGGGCTGGGAAGGCAGCGTGCCCTCGAGGTCACCCTCTGTGCTCTCCATGCACTTCGCTCACTGGGCTTCTCCTGCTTTAAATGAGACTTTTAAAGTGTTTAGAAAGTGAGCAATAAGTAACTTTTTGGCTCTAAAGGCCATTGAGGTGTTTATTTATTTATTTAAAATTTACTATCACAGAAAAATTCACAGAATCAGCAGTCAGAGGCTGAACTACTCTCACTTCTACAGACAGTTCACTACAGGGTTGTAGTTTATTGGCGGCGCACTCTCAAGGGACTTAGACTACCACAGCCCACGGCACCACATTTTTAAGATTTCTAGGGATATCAGCACTGTGCTCTATAAGTTTTAAGATTCATTTTTCTCTCCCCCACACAAAAAAAGCCTAACTACACTTTTTAATGTGATTTTGATTTTACAATCACAATGGCTAAGCTTAAAAGCTAGTTTTAAAATTGTCAACTATTTCACACGTCAGTGAAAGCACTCAGTCCTTTTGCTGATGTCCATGAATGTTTCCATCCTCAGAAAGAAGGACTCAGCAAGCTGAGATTTACTGACAAATATACAGGCAGGTGTCCTGAGCTGTGAATAAAGCAGTTGCTGATGCAATTAGACCTTAACCCTGGCCAACCTTACAAACTTATTATGAAGCATAGTACAAAATTAATAACACAGACAACAGAGCTGAAGAATATTACATTAACCTAGAGCAGATGGCTCTTCCCATTCCTTGCAGCATTTCAACCAAAACAGAGAAGTCCAACTCCAATACAAGCTGCCAGTTTGCTCTCCTCTAATACCTCATTTATTTTGATATGTCTATGAATTAGTTTTGCTACAGCATTTAAGCAGGAATTCTTGCTTTTGTCTTTTCCAGTTGAGCTTTAAGACCCAGAAGCTTAAGAAATTACACAGAAATACTGCATACCTAATTGTATCTC